AATCTTTCCAAAAACCACGCATCAATAAAACACACGGAACATGGATCCGCTTCATGTGTGTCCACAACTTTCACCCACTCTCATCTACACAATATACGACTCACCTATTCAAATCCACAAATTAAATCAATAAACTTTTAAATTTTCGGGATCAACAACAACTTTACACACATCGTATTCTTTCTTTTTTCATTTAGACAACATTTATTTTTCACTAAAAATAATTATATTCAGGTCAAGTAAAACTATCATGAATGATAATTTTTTTTATCCATTTGAATATTTAATATATCTTCATATCAAAAACTCGAATTTAAATTTATTGATAAAATTTAAATAATCTCGAATCAATTCATCTATGTACTTATTGACATATATCGAATAAATAGTTAAATAAATAGATAAGAAAAGTAAAAAATGGAAATAATGATGGTTACAATTTTTTTTTTTTTTGAAGTTGTTATTAACATTTAAGCAAAACTAATTTAAAAGTTATATACCGTACGTCTTTTTACTATAATTACATTATTAAAAGGGGGTGTACCAAAAAAAACAATTTGTTAGAAATTGTTCAAGGAGGGGTACACACGTATGGAAATATATATTATAAAAACTATTTTTCATAACTTTATTGCAGTCGGCGTAAAATGTTGTTTGGATCAGTTTTGCGAGGATGCAACTAAAGAAGTATAAACAAACAATGTAACTCATCATAATTATGTCATTGTGATTTTAGTGAAGAAGAATCTTATTATTCATTTAATCGATTTAGAATTCCCTCAGCTTAATTTGGTCAAACCTGCACTTTTGCTAAGCTTGGTGCTTAGACGATCTGTTACTTTCCATAGCTTTTTCGTTTGAATATGTGGCTGGAAATTCATCTTCGGAGATTATTATTAGAAAAACTTATGTGTAGACATTAAGAGAAACTTTGTATATTTTGGATTCTATATTACTTGAATCATAATATTAAAATTGAAATTTATTTTATCCCATGATAATGGCACCACCACAGCCACAGGCACAGCCTCGTCAGCTTATTAGACTCATCTGTGGCCATGCCATGGGCCATCCCCACTGAAGGCATATTTGTGGTGTGCATGGCATCTTACATCATGTAATATGATCAAATCCAGGTTTTGACTTGTGTGGGTCCCCCTTGGATATATTTTTTTTTGATCCAAATTACCAAAATACAACGTGAATCATGTGAATATGCAAATATTAATTAATTAATATGAGCTTTTGATTGGTACGCGTGGAGGCAGCACACGTTGACACGTTGACTAAATTTGATACAGTTTTCAACTATCTGAATTCTGAAGTCTAAACTCTAAAATATTGTATTATAACATAACCTAGTAAATCATCGAAGAACAGCTTTGCCTTTTTTATTTTTATATTGAGTTGAGGGATAAATCTACTGGACATCTATATCTCAGATACATTCGCGTATTTTGTCGACCCAAAATTCATTTTCATTCTTGACTGGTGAACTTTGTTTTCATTCTAATATAAACATCCTCTTCAATTATTTAAAAGTATTTTTGGTTTAATTTTCTTAACCTATCAAGAGTCTGTTTGTTTTACTTCCAAATTACATTTTCAGTTCCCTACCCCTTTCAATATAAAAATACACTTGACAACGCTACAAAAAATATATTATATAACAGAATTTTACACCAATAATTCACTAATATATTGTTTTTTAAAATAATAGGTTGACATAATAATTAAATACCTTATATTCACATGCTATGATAATAATCAAATTAGAAGAAAAAAAATTATATGCTTGATTTTTCTGTGTGCAAAAATCCTTTATATTAATGATAATTATAGTATCATAAGTAAATTTTTTTTTTATAAGTTTAGTGGATTTAAGATATCAAGAAAGAATTAAAAAAATATTGATATTTTTGAAAAAAAATCACAAACTTTATTGCATCAATTACTAATTAATCAACGTGAAAATAACTTTTTACATTGGCTGGAAGTGACGCAAAAAGGATTGTAAGTTAGTTAAGTGAAAATCAATATTAAAAAAAAAAGTCCTTTTAATTTTAATAGTAAACTCGATCTTTGCATCATGTGGTATTGGTGAGGCCTTCTTTGTTGTTGTTTGGTCACAGTGATGTCTCATTCCTATATTTCGTGTCCTCCATTTGCTTCCCTTTCGGCTTGCTCTCAGGTTTGTTTAACTGTCTTCGTTTGTAGCTTTTAATTGTGCTTTACTTGATACTGGGAGTTGATTGGTTGATTTAATTAATTTATTTATTTATATTATGTTTGGTTACGTGCTATTTAGTTTATTTTGCCAAGTGTTTCTTAAAATGTCTCAAATTCATTAGTTTGTTAAAAAAATATATGTCTAATGTGAGGTGGCTTGGCCTTTACTTAGTTTTGTTTCACTAATTCAGTAACTTTATTTTAGTTTACTGTATGTTGTGTAGTTATTTTTAGTTTCATTAGTCTAATAACTTTAGTTTTAATATAAAATATTATTTAGTTAGTTAATATTATACTGATTATTAACTATACAATATTTTAGTTGAATTAGGTGGGTATCATATATAGCCTATATTATAATTAAACCCATATCTTAGTCTATATTAAAACTTATTAGTTATTTTTAGACACTATTGAAATTTGGCAACTATTAGTGATCAATATTAAAACTTAGCAAAACTTAAGCTATATTAGGCTATATTTTAGTTTAATTAGGTACTCTATAAATAAGATAATTAATGTTTAGTCTATATTAGCACATTAACTAGTTATATTTAGTCTATTATTTAGTAATTAAATTAACTATATCATGATTTAATTAGGTATTCTATATTAAATTATTAAGTTAGTAAGATTGAAAATAATAAAACTTAACCTATATTAAGTTTGGTTTATTTTTTAATACTAATTATTAAAATAATCATATATTTAAATATATTTTTAGTCTCTCAAATTTAAAATTTGTATTTTTAATCTGTATAATACATATATATATATATATAATTATTTGATTATTCATATTTAAAACTTATATTTTTAGTCTCTAAAATATAAAAAATATTATTTTAGTCACTTTCAATTATAATATTAATGATTAAAATAATATTTTTTTAAAAAAAATATAGGGAGTAAAGCATAAATTTTATATTTGAGAAACCAAAATAATAATTTTTAATATTTAAAGACTAAAAATGTTAATTTTAAATTTGATAAACTAAAAAATTGTAAATTTAAAAGATTAAAAACATAATTAAACGTTAATTATATTTTAATCCAGTGCCTGCATACAAAATAAGTTAACTAATTGTAAATGAATAAAACTCGACTTATATTTTTATACAGTATAGATATTGTTCAATTGGGTAGATATTGGTATTTATTTGTGGTACTTTTGATAAAAGTATGGAATAAGTACAAAAATACAGAGCATTGGAGTTATTGCCTAAATTTGTGAGAAAATTATAGACAGAAAAACCTTAATTTGTTTGATAAATTAATGATTAGAAATAAACTTTAGTTTTCCGTAAGCCATGTTATAATATCTATACCTATTATAAAAAGAATATATTTTAGTAATTATTATTTTTCTCTACTTTTTAGTAGATCATTATATCTCTTAAAATGTAAATTTTTTTAAATAATTATCTGTAACTTTTAATATTTGTCTATATGTAACTATTTAAGGCACGAAGTGCCTCAACCCCTCTAGTGAAATATAAATGGGTTTAGCGTTGAGTAAAATATTATAAATCTTTTAATATCAACTTTGGTTGATGTTTTAAAATGAAAAATATGATCACTTTTATCTTTCATAGTTTCTTTTTTTTTTAATGATGTCTCCCACACTCTTTAGTCACTATCTATACTTTTGAAATTTTATTTGATGATTTTTTCTTTAAATCTCTACTTTAATTATGTTTTTATGCACACAAATTTTAAAATCATTTATTACTTTTGAAATTTTATTTGATAATTTTTTCTTTAAATCTCTACTTTATTGTTTTTTTTGGTTAACTTTTCCTCAAATTTAATATTTTTATTTTTAAACAATCATTTTATTTCAAATTTCACCATTTTCATCCTAAATAAGAAAATTTAAATTTAATTGCTTGTATTCGTTTGTAAATTCAAAATTTTCTAATATAATTGTAAACTTCATTTGAATTAAAAATATTCATGCATTACGTAAAATGTTTGCTAATGAATTAAGAGCTCGTACTGGAGTAACTCAAATATAAGGCCCACAATTTCCTATGCAAATGGATTGGCTGGAAACTTACAACCCAACCACGAACTCTAAAGTTTTTAAAGCCCACACAATTTCTTGATTGTAATGAAACGTTTTAACAATTGAGAAAGTCCATGTCATCTAAATGGACTTGGGCTGCCATCATGCGGTACTCAAGTCATTATAATTCTTCTTATTTAAATTTTTTAACTTTGATTTTAATTCTAAAAAACACACTTTTTTCCTGAAAAAAAAATTTAAAGGAAGAGTCAGAATTAAATGAAAAGTAAAAAAGAGGCAGAGAAATTTGAGGGAAAATATAAAAAAAAAAAATCTATTAAGTAAAGTTTTGTTACACTTAAAATTCTTAATCTGTAGAATTGAATTTTTTTAAGTGATTATATTTTTCAACTCCAAATTCTTAAATTTCAAATTTTTTATTATAGGCTCCACTCTCAATGTTTATAATTTTATAAATTAAAAATCATTGTTTTCCAAATATTATGAGTTTCAAAAAACAATTTTTGGATGTTACACAATGCCTAAAATACGACACTTCAATTGGGTTGTTTTGTTTTTGGTCTGCTCAGTTTGACACAGGCTTTACCTCCCATTTTTTTTTGGTTCATGATATATACACCTCCTATTTAAAAAAAAGAAGACGTGGTCGTCCCCAATCTCTCAATTAAAAAGAAAATTATGGAATAACGGATATTTTGACGGCAGTAGCAAAGGCGGCCAAAAACTGAAGAGATATTTATAAGATTAAAAAGAAACATTTGGTAGACGTTGAAAGTTGAAACGGAGAGGAGAGAAAATTGACGGTAGATTTTGTTTGTTTGACAGTTAAAGGAAGAAATCGCGGTCTCTTTGGCAGGCAACGCAACGATATCTGAACTCTCAAACCCTCAAATCCAAGGTCTCCGAATCGAGTCCAACCCAATTCCCAAACATGGACTCGATTCTCTTGCGTCTCCACACTCTCCCCCCTCCTCTCTCCTCCGCCGCTCACCGCCCTCTTTCCCACCCTCTCGCCGCCGCTTCTTTCCACCGCTCGTCTCCTCCT